TGTTCGAAACTCGATTAATTTGCATGAAGGATGAAAGATCCATCAATTGCAAATAAGTTTTCAAGGAGAAAACTAACAAATGTGGAAATGAATATGTACACATAGCTAGATTGGTTGAAAAGGATATAATTAATTTCAAGGAGTTGATTTTAATATTCACCAATCGGAATGCTTAAGTCTTTTCGTGATTAATCTAGCAAAATTGCACATATGAAATATGGCAAAATAAATACCAAAACCGCCTTCCCAAAATAGGATCTTGGAAGTGACTATGGAATAGTCTAAGGGTTTTGAAAATCTAAACAATGCTAGATTTGAAAGCAAGCACATGGAATCCGTCATGGGATTAAAGGAAGCATTGCATGAAGGAATTGGAACGTGTTTTCTCATAAAGTTAATAAGAGGATTGACTTATGGAGAAACATAGAAATTCTCATAAAGTTAATAACTCTATTGTGAAACAACTGTCAAATGCTAAATGCTTAGATTTGAAAGTATTTTCGACAATGGACCAAGCTAAAGACGATACTTAGTACATGTTGGGAATTAAGTTCTATGGTATAGACTTAATTAAATGTTTAAATGAGTAAAGGAATTTACCATGTTAAACATGAAGGACTTTGAAAGGCTTTCGACCCATATATGTATGAAGCTAATTAAATGTTTGAACTAAGTATAAGCTAGGCTAAATACTAAGTCAACCAAGAAAGACTCTAGTAAGAGACTTTCAACCATATCACATAGCGAACATTTTGGCAAGACTCAGTGTAACTGAATGAGCTAAATGTCACATGGATGGAATAAAATTGAGAATCATTCTAGAATTAAATCCATCATGTAAAGCTATGATATGGAATCATCAGACAACTTACTTGCTTAGAGCATGTGAAGTACGTATATAATACCAGTCGACATTAATCTAAGTATTAGATCATTATATTATAGTCAAGAACATCCATAGCACTTAAATAAGTAGTTGGATGAGTTCTTGACGCATGGAAACAAATACAACTTTAGTTTTGATGTTGCAAGCACAAACCTTAACAAGGATTAGATCCTTATCAAGGAAGCCATTTATAAGCACGAGGCAAGAAGTGTTGTGGCTTGAGAATGGTAACATGGATATGCATCCATGTATAATGTGCGGAAATTTAAGATAAATTTCCATGATCGTAAGTGATTTGAGTATTCCAAATCATTGTGAGTCGTTTGGAGTGAAATCCATGCTAGGCATCATCGGAGAGTCTACTAAAACATATGTTGAGAATATTGTTGCCTTAAAGGCAATAATAAGATAGATGTTAAATGGAAAAGTTCGTTGTTGAACATTGATGATTGTAGGTTATCAAGTAGAAGGTCTCAAATCATGAAAATGAGTGGGAGCCATTGCTTGGACAATAAATCCTGAATCACATGTAATCCATTAACACTCTCAAAATTTTATCATCTTATTATGGAAATGGTGGATAATGAAGATGCTAAGGTTTTCAAAGTAATTATAACTAAACCTATGCAATAAGTGAACGACAACATTCATAATTGCATGAAAGAAATCAAGCATATCAAATATGAGTGTGATTTCTATGAATGTTTTATGAAGAGTACTACTCTTAAAACATTTGGGAAAAACCATTTATCATAAGATGAAACATTGTGAAGTTTCATAGTGGAATAAAATATTTCTAAATATTCCACAAAACTATTTAATTGTGGTTTAGAATTAAATAATGAGTCCATTCGATTTTAATAAATATTCAAAATAGGGTATCAAGTCAATGGCTTGGATAAAGAAACACCTATTAAGTGAACATTGAATATTTTAATCGAAAATTATCCCTAATCAAGGTCATATTTTTTGTGGACGATTAATGACCATTAGAGATTAGTGTGTAGTATGATTTATAGCACCGTTTGTTGTGCTATGAGGATATAAATCATTTGCACAGGTATTGGTTTAGAACCATACTGGATCGACCTATGAGAATATTTTAAGAGATTTAAAATCGTCATAAGTATTTTTCTCATTATTACTATCGGAACTCTTTTTCCTTGACCATGAGTAGTGGGAGGCCTCTTGTTTGAGTACTAGTCCGCTTTGGTATCCGCCAAACGTCTGCCGTAACAGGGGATTATAACGACAGGTATTGGGCGCCTAGGTCCTCTTAGTAAGAGAAGCTACATTACAAGACTGGAAATGTCCTCCTACTAACAATAGGGAACATGTCTTGTTGTTTACAAGGCCTCTCAAAGAGCGAGACTGTGACAATGCAGGGCTGTGCTAAGATGGATTTTAGAAATCATCTGCTTATTGACAGTCAAACTCGGATTTCGAGAAACTTTTCTGGACGTAACAGAGATGACGAGTAATCTTACTCTGTAGTGCATGAAGAGACATAGGAAAGGGGCTATACACTATATGCACACTCGTCCGAAAAGGACAAGTGGGAGATTGAAAGGAATGGTGTCCTTCGAACAAATGTATTATTCTAATAGCGGGTTCAGAATTATTAAAAAGCTAATATATTCAGTAAGGTCAAGTGATCGGAATGCCTGGGTGGAGGCCGCTTCCGATCAGTAATATTAATATAATTAATATTACAGCTTAATCTTGACTAAACCCTTCGGGTCACACCCAAGCAAAATATACGAACCGACTCGACGAATTAATTTGGAAGAAATTAATTCGTCGCCCGAGTGTTAAATATTTAGACGTCGGAAATTCGAGCTTAGAGCGTCGAAATCGAACGTCCGAATTCGAGTCAAAAATAATAATAAGACGAGACGGCAAATTAGTAATAAATCAACAATGACCAAAATACCCCTAGCATCGGAATCCCGAGTGCTAGGGGATTAGCCGAGCTAGCAGCACGCACCATGTGCGAGACATGCTAGCAAGGCGTGGCTAGCAGCCCGCACCATGTGCGAGGCATGCTAGCACAGCACGGCCAGCAGCCCGCAAGCAGTGCGTGGCTAGCTAGCAGCGCCCTCGGCATCAGCAGCCCGCACTGATGTGTGTGGGCGTGCTGGGCCGAGTTGGCAGTAGCTAGCAGCCCGCACGGTGTGAGGCTAGCTGGGTCGTGGGCCTAGGTCGGGTAGAAAGGGGAAGCTAGTAAGTATGCTTGCTTTTTGGTGTGGACAAGTGTCACAAGGAGAGGAAGGAGTGGGGAGCAAGTATGGTCCCCTCCTCTCCAAGTGGTCCATACTCCTCTTTACATATGACTAGGACACTTGTTTATTTATTACTTGCTTATATATTTAATTTAATTTAGCTTTAAATTAATTTGTGGAATTTCATGAATCCCACATTAATGGGATAGAAATTCCCACTCATACTTTCCTCTATAAATAGCAACCTTGGGATTTGGAGTAAAGTGCTTGAGTGGGAGTTAGAAAGAGCATTCCATATTTTGGAAAAACTCTTAAACTCCATTAACACTTGGGTTTTGGTCGGACCTTGCTATCTCCAAGGTAGCGGACCTAAAAAGTCGTGTTCGTCCTTTGTGGGTGGATATCGTTGGAGGCACGGCATTTGCGGTGCTCAAGGCTTTCAAGTAAGAGCCCGTTTTGAGAGGGCGAAGCTCGCTTTAAGGGTATGATTCGTTCTTCCTTTTCTTGTGTTTACTTATTTATGCTTTATGGTTTTATTAATTACGAGTGGTTCCTTGGGTCGGGGTTGTTTCCGCGGTGAGTCGGACTCACCAAACCCCAACAAAAACGGAGTCTTGAGAGGTCGATCTGGGTTCGAGCCTTCTCCTTGAAGCAGGGTGAGGAGTCGGCTGACGGTCCTTGACCGACTTTTGCGTTCTAGGCTGTGCTGGTTTCTTGGCCGACTGTTCCTTTCTAGGAAATGTCAACCGCTTGGTGATCAAATCTTTAATTTCACCCGTGAAGCTTCTCATGAATTTCATGAGCTCATCTCGGGTGACTGGGGCTGATCTTGCCGCCTGGGATAGATCAGCCGGCTACCGAGAGGGCTTACTTGACTAATCAGGAGGCCTGCTTGGACTCCCCTGGTTAGCATTGCACTCTCGCCTGTCTTTATGACGGATGTGCTTAGAGATGAGGGACCCATCATGGGCCACATAGGTTTCGATGTCTCCATAATCACCTGAGTCATGGTCCGACTAGACCAACACTTCATCCGGAGACTAATTGGTCTCTGGAGGCGCCATGGGTTGATCTTGTGAAGACATCTTAGAGGTACTCTCCCCACATACGGAGCCAAATGTTTCAGGGGTTTTTGTGTCCTTTGGGTGAGTTACAACTCAAATACTGGATTCGACGAGGACGCATGTACCTGCAAAACGAATGGAGCTCCGAATGGTCGGAGGTCCGCCTCCAAAGATTAATTAAGTTAGTACGGAATTGGAGTAAAACTTGCGGAAAGTAAGTTATCTGCTTAGATTCCGAGCCTAGATGTTCTCTATTTTTGAGAGCAATAAATGCCTTAGTGATTAAGACGTAAAGTTCTAGGTGTCAAAATTGTCCCAATTATTAGGAGAATCTCCCTATTTATAGGTTCCTAGAAAAATTTGGCCTACCCTTGGGTTTGATGACCTAGGGATTAGGGCAGTGCCGTTTTGCGGCGCCTCTTGGGATTTAGGCCTTGAAGGCCGCCATTCTTAGGGGGCATATAATAGTGACACGTGTTGCCCATCTAGGGAGTCCATTTGGGCACCTGCTAGAATAAACACGTGTCATTCTATAATTGGTCCACTTGGGGGTATTAAATATCCCAAATCACCAATACTAGGAAGGTTTCATTAGAGAGGAAGAAGCCAACCCATCCTCAAGCTTCCTACCATCTTCCTGAAAGGGCACAGGAAGCAAGGACAGGGAAAATCACTAAATAAGCAACAACTTCTTATCAATGACAAGAAATCTACAAGTGACAGAAAAAATTATATCCCTAAAAGCTATGTCTATAGGCTTGTAATCTCCTGTGAACATTAAAGAATTCATCTGAATCCAAATGCAGTGAACAATCTCTACAAAGAACATTAACAACAGTCTGCCTCTAACAGTAGATCTTCTGATATGCTGTAGAATCCATTGCACTTCAGAAGAGAATCTTTGCTTAACTCTGCAATAACCATGAAGCTGCAAAATTCTATTCCAAATGCTAGCAGAATAATAACAATAAAAAAATAAGTGAGAAACTTTTTTGCAGCATTAGAACAGAAAAAAACACAAAGGGTCACAAGGGATACTCTAAACAAGGATTCTATCTCTAGTAACCAGCCTGTTCCATAATGCTAACCAGGTAAAAAAAAAAAGGCTTTTAGGAGAAGTCCTGTTATTACAGATTAATAACTTCAAAACAACTTTCTCAGCTTGAGGTCTGATATGAGTATATAGCTTCCTGATACTCATTTTTCCATAAAGAGTGATACCAGACCAACCTCCAATACTATCAATTAAAACTCTACAGTGCATAATCTTTTTCAAAACCTAGGAACATTTCTTGGGAACAGGTTCAGATAAAAAATCTCTATTATTAAAATAGTAAGTGTGAATCCACTTAACTCATAGGTTATCAGATAGATTTATGAGAAATATCCCAAAAGACTTTAGTAACATCAGCCTTATTCCAGTCTTCTAAGCATGTCAAATTCCATCCACCATAAGTGTTAGGTAAACACATAAATTTCCAAGAAGCTAAGGCTTTCTTGCTAGGATTACCTTTACCAGTCTACAAAAGGCATCTAAACTTTGAGTCTATTTCCCTCAAGATCTTCTTAGGAAGAATATAGATTTGGGACCAGTAAGCTTGAATACCAAAAAGGACACTTTTGTTCAACTGAAGCCTGCCATCATAAGAGAGGTGCCTAGTAGCCCATTCCTTAATTCTAGCAGTCACTATCTCAACCAAAGGCCTACAGTGGGAGATAGTAACCTTTTTAGAAGAAAGAGGCACATCTAGATACTTGAAAGGAAAAGAACATTTAGCAACCCCCAACACAGACCGAAGATCAGTTTGAACCTGCTTACTAATTCCCCCAAAATACACATCACTTTTATCCAAGTTAGCAGCAGAAGAAAACTTCTGAAAAGCTTGAAAAACCAACTGAATAGAAATAATATTAGCTCTAGATAAAAGAAGCAAGTCATCAGCATACATCATATGAGTAATACCTAACTTTGAACATCTTGGATGAAAATTGAAATCAGGGTTCAAAGTCATCTCCTTTAAGCATCTAGAAAGGTATTCCATTCAAACAACAAAAAGAAAAGGAGACATATTGTCACCTTGTCTCAAACCTCTCTTGGCTGAAAAAGGGACAGTAGGGTACCCATTAATCAAGACAGAGTAAGAAATTGCAGTTACACATCCCATAATCCAAGAAATAAACCTATTTGGAAAGCCTAATTCACCAAGAACAGTTTCCAAGAAACTCCATTCCACAGAGTCATAAGCCTTCATGAGATCAATCTTCATTAAACATCTTGGAGTAATAAACTTGTAAGAGCATCCTTTTATAAGCTCAGTGGCGAGCAAAATATTATCACCAATGTGCTTACAAGGAATAAAACCTGCATGAGCATCATTAATGACAGAACCAATAACAATTGCAAGTGTAGCTGTAATGATTTTAGAGATAAGTTTATAAACTAAAGTACAACAAGCAATATGCCTGTACTCCAATGCATAAGAAGGATTAGTCACTTTAGGCACAAGAGTAATGGTAGTAAAGTTCCATTGCCTAGCCAATTTTCCATGAGAGAAGAAATCAAGGGCTGCAGCATAGATCTCAGATTTTACAATGCTCTAAGCTTGTTTAAAAAATACGGCATTAAAGCCATCAATACCAGGAGCCTTATCATTACTGATATCACTAAGGGCCCGATCAATTTCATTATGAGTAACATCTGCCAGAAGAAAATCTCTGGCAGATATGTCTAGTTTCTTACCATTTCTCATAGTAGACAGATCCACCTCGGGAATAGAGTGACTAGTAGATCCCAAAATATTCTTATAGAAGCCAAGAATTTCATCAGTTATAAGAGCGGGATCCTTGAGCAAAATCCCTTGACTTTTATAAATAGAATTTAATTCTATTTTTATTTTGCCTTTGTTTCATCATGGAGAAGAAGGGAGAGTTAGCATCCCCAAGCTTAATCTAGTTAATTCTATACTTTTTCCTGTAAATGATGCTTTGAATATTCATCCAATGCTTCACCTTATCAATAGCAAAATTCTCAAGAGTCTAAAGGTGAGTATTGGTCCAATCTCTAGCTAATTTTTCCTGACTTTCACTAAGATCTTTGTGAGCTTGATCTAAGCTCTTAATGATGTTAGCAATATGTTTAACATTCAACTCCTTAAGGCCTATCTTGATAGATTTTAATTTATTCGAAACAGTAACCATTATAGAAGTATAAAGCTCACCAGAATTCCAGAAATCCCGAATAGCCTTCTGAAAATCTATATGCTCAGCAAGGCAGTTTAAAAACCTGAAGGGTCTACCCTTTCATGAGCCAGCAGTAATAATATCAAATAAGAGAGGGCAGTGATCAAAGAGGGAGGGAGGGAGATAGACAACTTCCACTTGACCATAACAATGGATCCAAGTTTCATTAACTAGACCCCTTTCAATTCTAGTAGCAGTTTTGTTCTCACCTTCAACCTTATTTGACCAAGAATAGAAGGAGCCTTTACTTTTTATTTCAGCTAGATCTAAAATCTCAACACAATCCTTGAAATCTCTCACTCCAGCATCAGTAACATGATTCCCATTATATTTATCCTCTGAGCATAGAACATAATTGAAATCAACTATATACATCTAAGGAAGTAGAGAAATCCCCAAAGCCTGCAATCAGGTCTAGAGAGGTCTCCAGTCTTAAATTGAATGCAGTCCATAGACAAAGGTGCATAAAATAACATGCTTCAAGTCCTTAGAGCTAATATGAGTATGAACAAACTGCTCATGATTAGCCAGCACATCAAGAGTCACTTTATCAACTTTCAAACCAATCCAAATTCTACATATTACAAAGTGATCATAAGAACAATGCCAAGTCCAAGATCTACCAAACTTCTTCTGAATAGAACATTGATTACGGATTTTGACTTTCGTTTCAAGTATAGCAATTACATAACCATCATGATCCTTCAGCAATTGCTTAACAACAGTTACCTTGTCAGGGTCATTAAGACCCCTAATATTATATGAGACAACAATCATCCCACCAAAGAGGGATTACCATCACCCTTAATAGGAATAGTATCAGCTGTAGGCGTCGTTCGATATGCGCCTACGTTAAAGCATGTGTGAATATACTTGGCACTCTTAGGAAGTGGGAATTGACATATACAATTAGGGACAAGGAAAGTAGGGAGCCGCCAACAAGTTTTTAAGGAACTTGTAAACCGTTCACGGATCATAAAAAGGCAACCACGATAAGGGACAACGATTGACCCGTGAAGGTTACACCCCATTCATAATCCATAATATTAATAACTCCACATGGTTCGGAACCACAAAAGGAGGATCGGGGATGATGGTACGAAGTGAGTCATGGAGTCACATTCGCCCGTATTGGCCTCTATTCGATTCTTATAGTGAAAAGCATTCCTGCGATCTCAAAGGCATACAAACAGAGATTCAATTTGCTACAAACTATTATTAAGCTAAATTGGTTTAATATTACTGCAACATATAATTCTATAAAATTGTGATCACTTGATTTAACAGCAAGATTAAAAAGGAACCTAAACCGGTTGTCCAAATTATCTTATTAGGCGTGATTTTCAATTACATATTCCCTTTAAACATGCAATATGGTGATCAATAAAAATTAATAGAATAAACATTAATATTGGAAGCAATTTAACAATAATTACGTTAGTCAAATCAAATATAAAATAACCCTAATCATGATACTAGCAATATTAAAATAAAATAAGAGTACTTAAATTAATTAATTACTCACATTCCGCGCGTTCCTTTAAATTGCTACATCATGAATAAACTGTTAGTAACTTCAATTAAAATATAAATCAAATTGAAACAATTAAATTAAATAAAAAGTGGATTTGATTTAGTCCAAACCCTCAGTCAATTATACCTTTCACGCCTTGGTTTAAGTAAAGAACTTTGGGTATTATATGGACTCCTTAGAGTGCTTAAAGGAATGAATAGTGAAAGAATAGGGAGGCTAGTGTTAAGGATAAAGAGGGAGAACAGAATTATTTGATGATCAATCTTGTTGATGATTGAAAAAGGATAGATATGACTTCTATCTATATAGAAAAAATAAGGGTCGAAAAAACAAGATAAAATCTGAATTAAATCGAAATAAAACTCGATAGATTGCAGTTTTTTGCGGTTTTTGTTTTTATCATATCTTTTGATCCAGATATTGTAATAAGATAAATAAGATATCGTTGGAAAGATATTGAAGTCTAATTTCTAACCCAATTAGAATCAGATAAAAGTTTTCTATAGAATAAAATATATGGCCGAAATAGTGAGACGGTGACAGTTTTGGATAGAGTTTGACATTTTATTCATATCTTTTCCGTTATAGATCGGAATTGATATTATAATATATTATTGGAAAGATAAATTCAAGGGCTATCCAACAATATAAAATTTGGATAAAAAAATGAGGCACGAAAATCAAATCTGACTATCTTTGAACGTCTTTCAATTCGAATAGAATTAGGACTTTTAAAAAGAAAAGTTTTATTCAATTTAAACTCTTTAATCTTATCTTTTCAAAAAGGATAATTAAGATCTTTTAGAAAATTATAGAAGCTTCTAATTAATACTAATTGGTTTAGGAATGAGATTAAATAATTTGGACCCTCCACATGATCATTGGGTCGTAGGTAAGGTGGGCTTAGGTTGGGTTTAGGCTCGGCTGAATATTTTGGTCATAACTTATTCGTTATAACTCGAATTTGGGGTTATAATATATCGTTGGAAAGATATTTTAAAGCCCCATCCAGATATTCAATCATTGAACCCAGATAATGGACCAAAATAAATTGGACTAAACCTTTTTATAAAAAGGACACGAAATGAACGATTTTAAAGGACACGAAACGAATTATTTTGGGTTTAAAGGCACGAAAAGAGGAAAATAAGTTATGGTTTGGGGAAATGGGATAGAAATTGGGTTGGTTTATGAAATTGAAATAAGGATTTAAGCACTACATGATTAATTACTCAACCCGGACAATAATGGCGGTGAAAGGTTGTTCATCATCGAGTTTGGTTTTGGGGAGACATTTTTAGGTGTTTACAGAAGCCCCCACTTTGACTGGGTTTGTAGAAACATCAGTTTTGAAAACGATAGTCAGAGTAGTCAATAAGGACGGAAAATGATTTAAGACGTTCGGCGATCCTAAATCACTCTTTATACACCGATACCTGCAGAAAAATGTTAGTTCTACAGATAAAAGAGTAAAGGAATAAAATACGTATAAGACACCAGTGTATCGATGACAAATGAGTTTGGTAGCTTCCTATGCTTGAAGGAATCCACCGGATGACGTTTGTTGAAACGCTTTACATGCCTAAGGAAAGCCGATTGACAAGTTTGGTAGCTTTCTATGTTTGAAGAAATCTACCGGATTATTTTTTCCAGGCTTGAAGAAAGTCGACATATGAATTTGGCGGTTTTCTATGCTTGAGGAAATCCACCGAATAATACTTTCCATGCTTGAGGAAAGTCGACATATGACTTTGGCAGGTTTTTATGCTTGAAGAAATCCACCGGATGACACTTTCCATGCTTGAGGAAAGTCGACAAATGATTTTGGCAGGTTTCTATGCTTGAAGAAATCCACCAGATAATACTTTCCGTACTTGAGGAAAGTCGACAGACGATGAGATTGCAAGTCTTTGTGTATTGAGAACCTTGTGTCGTGAAATGATAGTGGTTCGATTGTCCCCAAACGTGGGCTGTAAATGGTCCGCTTGTCCCCGAACGTGGGTTGTAAATGGTCCACTTGTCCCCGGACGTGGGCTTTAATTGAGATCTACAAAATAAAATTTTCCAAGGGACTTGTATAGACTGTGATTGACTTGACCAACTGACTTGACCAAGTTTGACTTGTAACGACATGACATGTGTATTACTTGTGATTATGTGTGCATAAGTATGATTTTAATGTATGAGCAGACACAAGCAATTAAGAATGTAAAGAGAAAAAAAATTTCGTCATTTTTG